TATTACATTGATATGGTTTACTGACCTGCATATTGCCCAGTGCCAAATTGTAGTCAATAGACCAAATTACTGGAATAAATTAGCCTAAAAAAATAACGAAAAATAAAATGGAACTTAACTATGATCAGTCATGTCATGTCAATGACAACTAAATATACGAGGGAAGCATAGGTTTAATTATTTGTCACCAGTTTGTAACCTCACAAAAAACAAAAAAATTATGAAGTAAATTTTCAGATCATATAATTAACAGATTAATTCGTGTGGTGTAGCGTTGGAAACAAAGTAACAAAGCCATGAAAGTTGAAATCTTTATTTTGTTTTTCAAAATTCCAAAATTTCCTTAATGGTATAAATCAATGCCACCGATTTTCCAATTTGTATCGAAACAATTCGGCCTAGACCCGAACCAGAATTCCTTATCTACAAAAAAAAAAAACGATTCACATCTGATTTACCGAAAAATTCTCTAGATGTGACTTATTACTTTATAACCATAAAATTTCAAAATATATATGATTAAATAATAATAATAATAATAATAAAATAATAATAATTTTAAAAAGAAATTATTTCTTTAATCAATAAAACTTTTTTTTAAAAAAAGTTAATAAAATGTAATTTATATATTTGTTAACGTATTAAACAATTTAAAAATATTGACCATAAATTTACAATTATAAACTAATGCGGTATTCAGTTAAATTTATGGTTCTTTTAAAAAAATTATAATCTAAATCTGCCATTGTAAAGTTATTGAAAAAAAAGGTTATTTTCCTAATTATACATCATAGAATATTAATAAACACCTAAAAAAGTAGGAAAAAATCTAGACTTACCACATTATTTCAAAGTCTAGGAAACAAAGTGAGTGTCTTAAAGATAAACGAACATTAGAAAAATTCCTAAAGCAAAAAACCAATAAAAAGAACCCCCAGTTTATCACCCATTTCCCCGTTTCAAAGTTTGCCATATCTAAAAACAAGAAAGGCAACATGAAATTACATCCCTAAAATAAAAACAATGAAAAAAAAGAATGAACTAGCTTTTGATTCATTTAGTATTATTCATTTGGGTTCTTTTCGTCATTCCTATCGTTTATTTATTGTCTGTGTTGTTCTAGTTCTCGGAAATCCAGTTTGAAATCCAGGTCTGGAGAGTGTAAAAAAACACAACTCACCCCTCTAATCTACTACCATTTCACCAAATTCCAGATCCTAAAAAAAAGAAACAAAAAAAAAAAGAAAATAAAACAGATAAAAAAAAAAAAATAATGATTTTCCGAAAGGCAATTTATTTATTCAAATATATATACAATTATACATTGCTTTTGAAGTGATAACAAGATAAAACATAACAGTTTAAAGAAATCTTTTAAGAAAAAACAAAATAATTTTTTCAAAAAAATTTTTTTTTAAAAAAAAAATAATTTCTTTTTAAGAAGAAACCACTTCAAAATGATTTTAAACTGCAAAAAAAAGTAAAAAAATATAACCGGGTGGCCAACGTTTTTACTTCAAATTATTAAAAATAACGTTGCGAAACGTTATTTTTTAATTATATAAACTAGAGTCATACTCTAGGGCCGGTGACCGGCCCTTACTAAGAGTAGGATATATACCATAAATTTTAACACTTATTTGCAGAAACAATAATATTGGTAATAAATACATTATATAATTTAATTTTTATTTGAAATAAATAAATAATTTTTTATTTTTTTTCCATCTAAAATAATTTAATTTATTGTTTTTTGCATTTTGATTTAATAATCTTGTAATTGGCTTTAAAAGAAGAAATATTATGAATTTTTTAATTTATAAAAAACATTTAACAATTTTTTTTTAAAAAAATTTTTCAGTTTCTAACCATGCTGTAGTAAACTTTTTAAAAATTTTATATAAAACGTATATTATAATTTATATTCATATTAAAAATAAAATTATTCAATAAAATTTATTTCACACGAATCAAATTTGGATGATTCTATGTCCACATTTTTTTTTTATTTGTGTAATATATATAATTTTTTTTAATAAATCAATTTATGTAATATATATTTTAATAAGTAAATTCATATAACTTTTTTTTGATAATTAAATTCATATAATGTTTTTTAAACTAAATTTGTATCATATAATGCTTTTTAAATAAATAAACTCATATAATGTTTTTTAATAAATAATTTTTTTTTAATATACTGTATAATGCTTTTATTTTAATAAATAAATTCATATAATGTTTTTTTTAATAAATTCATGTAATGTTTTTTTTAAAATAAATTTGTATAATATTTTTTTAGTAAAAAAATTTAATAAATTCGGATATATAATTTTTTTAATAAATCAATTCATGTAATATATATTTTAATAAGTAAACTCGTTAATTTTTTTTAATAATTAAATTTGTATAATTTTTTTAAATAATCACTAAATTTGTATAATGCTTTTTTTTTAATAAATAAACTCATATAATGTTTTTTAATAAATAAATTCATATAATTTTTTTTTAATATATAATGCTTTTGTTCTTTAATAAATAAATTTATATAATGTTTCTTTTAATAAATAAATTTATATAATGTTTTTTTTTAAAATAAATTTGTATAATATTTTTTTAATAAATAAATTTAATAAATTCGGGTATATGTATTTTTTTTAACAAAATAAAATTCAGATAT